CTTTGTGATTTCTTAGAGCATACTAACGAGGAAAGGTCACTAACTGTCTAATCGCTTTTGAGCTGAAACCCAGTGGACAATAGGCAGTCTGGAAAGCTGAATCCGAATTTCACAATAGTTTAGGCTAATGCCGCTCTTTAGAACGCGCTTATTGAAAAAGACAGAAGAATTTTTTGATCTGTCTACATGAAAGATTACTCTGTGAAACGTATAGGAAATTACTTTTCAAGCTTATTTAAACGATTTTGAGAAGATATCGTATGTAAAAGCCTGAAATGTCCAGAAAGAATACACTTTTTTAAATTCAAAGTTTTTCACTATTTTCACCTACACTATTTTTATTACTTTATTTTTTTGCTTTTTCATTTGGTTGATTTTAATGTATGATTGAAAGACATACGAAGTATCGCGAAGGATCTTTGTTAGCTCCTAAACCAGCAAGCATCGAAGTCTTTTCTTGTCATCAATGAAAGACGACCGTCGTTTCAGAGTCTAAAGTGTGTTGAAGTTGGGCAGAGTCGCACACCATAAGTTAAAAACCGAGCGAAGTATTTTTTATGTTTTTGCCTTTTATTAGAAAAAGTAGCTTACAATTTAAAATGTACAGAATGAAGACGCCACTAAGAAGAAAATAAGGCTGATTTCACCCCTTCTTGTCTCCTTATCTTCATGATACTGTCGACTGTAACACTATAAAAGCGAAAGCACACTATTTACAAGATCGCCTAGACTTAAAAGAATGACGATAAGGTAAAAAACGTTCTATTTGCGAGTTGGCAAGTGTACTTACTTTCACTTAAATGAAAATGATAGCTAACAACAAAGTGTTCAAAGCACAAGTGTTTTGAACAAGCCGCACAAGTAATAAACACTGATTCTCTGCAACTTTTTTGCTCACATTCTTCCTGTACTCTTACTTTTGGAAAACAAACTTCATTTACAGTCTTGAAAAGCCTTGGGTTATTTTTTGTCAGTTCACTAGCGAACCAACTGTACTTTATCATTGGCACAAAGGCTGGTGCACTCAACTGATTGTGCATTAAACTGACTAACTGTATTATGTTATTTCGTTGACATAAATGAAAAAGCGGTTGGTTAAAGTTTTGTTGTCAAAAGTGATGAAAAATCTTGAATTTAAAAAAGTGCATTTTTTCTGGACATTTCAGACTTTTGCCTACGATATCCTCTTAAAATCGTTCAAATATGCTTGAAAAGTAATTTCCTATAAGTTTCACAGTGTGATATTTCATATAGACGGATCAAAAAATTTTTTTGGCACAAAAAGTTTTTCTGTCTTTTTCAATAAGTGCATTCTAAAGAACGGCATTAGCCCAAACCATTGTGAAATTCGGATTCAGCACTCCAGACTATCTATTATCCACTGAGTTTCAGCTCAAAAGCGGTCAGACAGTTAGTGGCCCTCCCTCGTAAGAGCTATCTATGATGAAAAAACGATGCCGGTGTCTTTTTAAATAATATACTTTACCTGGCAAAGTAAAGTAAAGCATTTAACTTTACTTTGCTTGATAAAGTAAAGTTGACCTACTTTACTTTGGCAGGTAAACTAAACTTAAGGTACTTTATTTTACTTGGTAAAGTCAAGATAAAGCGCTATCTATACAGAGACTATCTCTCTCCATTCATGAAAAAAAGCACTTTTTTCTCATAGATTTCTCTTCGCTCGGCAATCGACGTATATATAAAGTCGAAGTACGACTGTAGGGCCACACTATTTACACACTTGATTGTATTCATCTACCACTCTCTCCTCAAGCATCGAACAGCAACAGAGGACGATGCAAAAGATCAGCCAATTGATTTGTTTGATCGCCTTCTTGATGTTGGCGGCTACAACCTGCATGGCACGGACTGTAGTGAATCGAGCCGAAGTTGATGACCATTGAGGCTGTTCGAAAATCACACAGTCATTGAGGGGCAAGCAAGTCTAAGAACTATTATCTTAAATCATATGAAGAAAACAGGAAGAGGGTAAGATCAGCAAGTCATTTGATCAGCACTGTTCATGATATATGATAAAAATCAGTTATTTTTAAGCAAAAACATTCCTTTGTGAGTCAAAACTCATTATTCTTCCTTAAAATCGATTTAGAGTACTAGTATGACCAGTAAACAACAGTTAAATGATGAGACCATTGCGAATCTCTTTTCTCGATGACTACTGTCATCTTCCAAACATCTTCTGTACGATAGGAAATAAAGTGTGTAGGCAGTCGCCATGAGTCTATGTTCTTCTCCCTATTGATCGGCATGTAGCCATGAGAGAAAGAAAACAATAAAAGACACTATGGAAGAATACAGTTGATCGATAGCAGAACGTAAGAGAAAACATCGATTGATAACTGACCTCGTCATACAGTTGCTTTGCAAACGCATTTTTAACAAAGAAGAGAAGAAATGATGCCATGATCAAACAAACTGAGAGCAATATACAGTGAACCCCCCTCTTAGTAAATATCCCTCTAATATGATCAAACTGTTAAATTCAATGTATATGTTGTTGATCTTGTTAATAATCGAGTGTAAAGGTTTAATCATTATTAAAGAAAACCTCTGCTAATCGTTAGACAATACTATGATTTCGCATGTATTATTTGCTAGCTGTTAACCATGATTTACTGGCAATGGCTACATATTTTTTCGTTTGTACAAAAACTAACAACTCATATTATGACTTAATTTTCTCAAGACACTCTAAGATGATAAATCATACTATCTACTAAACATTGTTATTACTTTTACATGAATGTACCTATTGATATTGAAAGAAAAAGACAATAGTAAATCCACTCTGTATAAATAAATAAATTGATCAAATATGAAAATTTTAGAGAAAAATAATTGTTAGGAAAAAAAGAGAGAAATCGAAGTTTATCAATATCCTTTTGCTTTCATTCATCTTTTCTATACAAAGGTGTTCATCGTTTTCATGTGTACATGAGTGCCTGCCGATCAGATGATGTTGATCGTAGAGAACATTATTATATAAAGTAGAGATGAAAATCACTAAGTTCTTTGATTGAATATGAACGCAATAATGAATTGTTTAAAATACAATGATTGATAATAATCATGTTTATATTATTAAAAAGAAACCAGTGTTATCTATAGTATTTTGAGATCGAGGAATAGAGACATTTGAAACATGAGATAAATAGTGTGGATACATGGGTGCAACAATGGAGTTATTAGGTACAAATTGAGGATGAATTGGAGGTAAAATGAATACATTAGGAATATATTGAGGATTCATGGCATGCGTTGAAGCCATAACATATCCATTAGGTATACACTGTACTCGATTTTATTTTATTGGTGCAACACGCGATGTCTTATTGGTACGTTTAAATACTCATCATTTTCATACTAATCGTCTTATCCATGAAACATTAATTGGCACTGAAAACAAAACAGTGTGAAAATCTGATCATATGTGTAAAACATATACTAATGCTGTGAATGGGTAAGCAGATGGCACAGCTTCGTTGTTTCTCACGAGACGCATGTTTGTGTGAAGCGTATGCTCGAGTCGTTCTTGATTCGTTTTGAGGAAGCGGCCATGTATATGACTCTTACTTTCATCGTTCTCGTTGGTATCAGTGTTCTGAGTAGCTCACCATTACTTAACACTAGATCACATAATATTTATCGTATTGCTCCCATTCTTCAACGAACCAAGGTTGGTCTCGATTTGTGCCCAACATGTATCAATGAAGCCGTAGAAGTGCTCAATATCTTGCTCAATGCCGTTCTCGATGAAGGTATTCTAGCAACTTGTAATAGTTTATGTGGCATTGTTGCCAATAAAACTGGTTCAAAGTTATTGGGTGAAATTTGCGCTCTGGCCTGCGACGCATTTGGTCTTGATGAGTTCATTAAAGAAATTATCAAGCTAGATCTCGATCCTATTTGGTATTGTGAAATGGCAAAGATGTGTCCGAGTAAGAAACAATTTTTTTTCTCATGCGTTAGTATATTTCACTGAAAATGTCTGTCTGTAGTTAACGACCATGGTGATGCGAAATTTACCAACTTCCATGTTTCACCAACCACCGGCCCTCGTAAGACCAAATTTATTCTTGACTGTTCTTTTGTAACCAAGAATGGTACGGGTACGGGCATGCTTACCCTTACACTCATCTATCCCAATAAGCAATCGGCAGCCACGGATTTCTTGCTCGAAGCACAAAAACCTGGCTCATACATCGAAAGAATTCCTATCGATGTCATCGAACCGAATTGTGACCCTTCACGAGGTAGAAATTCTTTATTTGTCGGAAAGTTCATCAATTCATTTCGTTTCTTTTCTGAGTAGGATTGTGTGACGATTGGCCAGTTGGTACTTACAATGTCACTGCGGAAATTTGCAACGGAGAATGTGGATCACATCATCCTCATTCGGCCACTTATGATATGGGCAAGGCCTCATTTACGGTTACCAAATGAATGAACGTACTTTTTATTGTTCTTTGCTAGTATTTTTGCGATTTTATAAATTTATTTCATATATTAATGATGAAGAAACATGTACCATCATTTCTTATCTAATATTTTAGGTATCTGTAGAAGGTAACTCGACTAAGAAAATTCTACACTGATTTACTTCCTTCAATCTCTGAAGTTTAGCTGTCGAGATTTTGAGTCATTATTCTACCATTAACAATTCGATGCTATTCGAATGTTCTGTTCATATTCGTAATGGATGAGACATTAAAGAATGTCTTCTTTTGTATCGTGCGATTGTCTAGGTCGGTTTTCATCGTAGAGAGTTAAGCATAGTCTCAAAAGATTTTCCGTTAAATTCTCTACAAAGCTCTTATCACACATTTCTCTGTACAAAGCGAAATAGAAATACGAGAACAAGAATATTGAACACGTCCAAAGGAACTAACTTTCTAATTCATTTTAAAAAATAATTTTTGGAATTTCAAAAGCAAAAAATGCTACTGAAGATGTTTTTTTTGAGTACTTTGAAATGTGATCTTTCTTGTCACATAGCATAAAGTTTGTTGCAATCAAATCGAAGATGAAGAATTCTAACTTTTCCAAATTCTATTCAAAATGACTTGAATTTGATATTTTTCACCAGCTGAATTGAAAAAGAGAATTTTAGATCAACTTTCGCCACTGAATCTGGCACAGCAGTCATTTTCCATCAAAATAAACAAAACCCAGAATTCAAAAGATGGAGTAGGTTACAATTCGTTGCGTATTTTTTGTAGGGTTTTCGTAAAGACTGACCGATACGAACTTTCTGATTTAGTCAATAACAGAGGGTGTGAGTGTATTTGATTAAAGACAAAAGGAACATCCTCATCTATCGATTGATTCTCTTTGTTATTTTTTCTTTATTCTATCATTTATCTTGATGTGATATCTTTTTTTATTTTTTGAATACGATGACTTATTCGATCGATGATTTCTGTCTGTCTTACTAATGTACTTGATTCATCTAACTTGAAATCTTAAATACATCCGCACCTATAATATGTACGCACTGTTTCTTCCTTTTTGGCTTGCTGTGTATGTTTGTGCGATGTGTATGTGTACATGTTGTGAAAATAAAATTCAAAGAATCATTCTCTGCCAGACGAAAACGGTATGGGTGTGAGTTGATCTTCTCTCAACCTGCATCCATAAATCTCGTAGGTCTTTCGGTGGCAACAAAAAATTGAGCATTCTATATCTAGTCATCATCAAAAATAGAATTATTCAATATGCAGCACTCGAAATTTCATTTCTCGCCCGAATCACATAGGATATCTTCACATCTTTTTATCGAACCGATTATGTGACACATGAGTATCGTAATAAAGTTAAGCCGATGGCCTGGCACTGCCCTTGATTTGTGTGCGGTGCATCACCCGTCTTTCATTTGGATCGAAGGCATCCCGACGATGCATCGTGCACCGATTATCCCATAGCACTAGATCGCCTACTTTCCATTCGTTGAACCATAGAAACGGCCCTTGTGGAGATCCCGTTCCTGATAGTCCCTTTTCGGTGAATGATGATGACAATTGCATAGTAATGTAGCTCCAGAGCTCGTCCAGAAGGGCCTCAGAGTCCTCTAACTTCAGCCCCATAATGTAACCATTTCGGCGGCGACCCAGGTACAAGCATTTCCGCTTTGTCTCAGGATGCGTGCATACAAGTGGATGGACAGCACCTGAAGTAAATACGATACAGTTGATCTAAGGGATAATTATAGATCAGCCGACTGCTACTCATTCTCTGTCATCACACCATACCTGGCGATGTCATGGAATCATCAGTGGCAGTAATACCTTGGCGTAAATAGCCTCCGCTATTGTATGTACCGTCGTGTTTGACAAGAAGACCATCAATACGCTGTTTGAGATGCTCCGGAAGGGCCTCATAGACTGAATACATGTTAATAAACCACGTGTTACCTCCTACCGAAGGTACCTCCAGCGCATAGAGTATGCTTCCAATGGGCGGTTCCTGAAAATGTATTTTATGAACATGACTATCATCACTGAATTGGCTAAAATACTTGATCATTTCAGACCTTGCGCAGCTACAGTTTTTTTAAGCAATTACTGTGTGCTAAACGAAAGTTAGCATGCACACGTCTGCGATCTACATTGGCTCCACTATTTCTCAGCTGAGATCCAGCGTGGGTCGAAAAGTGAGACTTACGAAAACTTTCTTGTGGAATCTTTTTTATATTTGCTTAGAGGTCTAAAAATTTATTTAAAAAAATAAAGAAGAATTTCTGAGTATGTTTCCATAAGAGTTCTAATCTGACTCAACTTTTGAAAGTTTGGAACTCAGAAAGTAAAGTACCCATAAAAACGTCTTTACTTCTGCCCGGATAAGTCTCTTTCCAATGTTAGAGGTTATTGCACTGCATTTCCTTTCTATAAGTGAAACGGCCGTGTAAATCTTTGCAAGCAGAATAGACTCAAAATTAATTCTATTAGTACATATACATTGAAGCAGAGACGAACGCTCTGTCCTGGAAATTCAATTCGGTCGACTGCAATATTGGCAGAGTGAGGATGATGAACCCATAGTTGCTCCCAAACAGATCAGATCCTATAGAGTGGCTCTATAATAGTTGTTACAAACCTCTAGATAAGACATATCTGTGTGCCAGACCGCCTCACCTGCCCCGAGACTTCCGATCGGTATGCCATTTTCTATCACATTGGATACAATGTATATCTCTGGTTTGCCTTCGACAAATCGTCGTCCAGTCTCCTATAATAGATACGTCACAATTAAGCAACTTGTGAAGTATTGTCACTTGTATTATATAAACGGGATCCTTCGTAGTGCATACTAGCAGCGAAATTTGCAGAATACTCACGGTCAATGACAATTGGAGAACAGAAAATACACTTATTCATTTCAACCATATATATCTTGGTTTTTCTTGCACTTTCGTCTGGATTCCGAGAAAAATGTGCAATAGTGCAATAGAATGTTCATCTACTCGATGCAGAACTGGCTTTTTGCTTCGTATAAAAGAGATCTGTCATACAGCTGAATGAAAGAGAATTAGTGTGATTTTTCGAGTGACAAATGGTATTGAAAACGAAAAAATATGACGAGATCTTGATCAATTTTTGCTCAGAACACAGTCTCATCTTCTCAAAAAGGAACTAGCGAATCTGTTGATAAGCACTGTTTGTAGCAAAAAGGCTCAGAAGGATCGAATGCTTCCATTCGAAACAAATGCAATCAGTGAGAAACAAGTATGTAAGATTATGGGTTCCTTAATTAGTACCTGCACAGGAGCCCAATCCAATTCGCCAAAATTCTGGCTGAATTTGATGAGATCATCATCTGTGAGATGTTGTCCTCGAAAAAGAAGCACGGAATATTGCAACCAGGCCTCGTACACTTGGGAAAACGTGGATGCGTCCATCTCACAAGACAAATCGACACCATGAATCTCAGCGCCCAGTCCGCCCGAGGTAGGTACGACCGTGAGAGTCGCGCTTGCACATTGTGACATTGATATGTCCATCATCAGAAGTTTTTATATCCTATACAGATCTTGGTCGATCACTTGAATTCACTTTCACCTGTGGTTCGAATGAAGTGCATCTGTGAAGTAACATGCTTTATTTATGGCTATTGTGCCCCTGCTATCTCGCATACGTTCTTATCTATAAACTGCAGAAGGTAGAAGAAAGAGACAATAACAAATAAAAACATCTCAGGTTTCGGATAGATAAAAATTCGAGTCACTTAAGGAGCAGTGATTGATGCCTGGTGTACATATATTGCTGTAACTTCTCATTTGAGAATATAAATGGAAATTCAATTACTGTTAAACTCAATTTCTATGGATTTTGAAATTTTAATTAATTTAAAATTATTACATTTTTGAATCCTTGAAAATTTACTCATACCAATGATAAGAAAATGTACGCATTCAGTTTTAGTTTTAATTAATTGAAATTTATAGGATTCACTAGTAATCATTGTGATAATATCTCTAATTAACTGTTTAATAGATTGCAGTGATGAACTATGATGAAACTTCTGAAAAATCGTCATATTACTTTGATTAAGATTCTTCCTATAACTATGTTCAAATTGACCATCCTTGCTTGTGCTTTATAAATAGTATTTTGTCAGTAATAAAAATCAATTCATTGAGCGAGAATGTGTTCAAAATATTTAATTTTGTTTCAAAAAATTGATCTTAAGTGTAACTGATAACAATATAATGCTTTTTTTGACGAATTAGATTATTTTCTACATGCTTTGCAAATGCATAGAATTTTATTTCACATAACACTTAAGAATTATACTAAGTACAAAAAAGAAAAAAGATCATAATACGCAGAATTCATATCAAGCTTAGGTTTCTACTAATTATCGCTATTCTAGATCGAAAATTTTTATGTAAATAATAACTCACATCCTCTATAAGTTGCAGCTACTCCACTTAATTATTTCTAAGGATACAATTATTAAATATTCGTGCTGTATCGTCGCGTTCTTATCAGCAAAGGTCAATGCAAGACAGCTGCCATTTTGGCGGTGTCAGTTGCCAAAACGTGAACTGTTTTCATCTAGTCACTATTATTTGCGAAAATTATTATAGACATATAGGTGAGTCTACATCTAGATGAAAGTTCTTTGTAAGAATTCATCATGATCATAAATTGATTACGACTGCTTTGGGTCAATACAGTAAACTGATCATTTAGCATTAACTGTATGCCATAGGAAGAATCGTCTTTCGCAATAATGTGAGAACATAGAAAAAATACAAATGCGAACAAATAAACGATTGAGAGCACTCTTTTCAAGTAAGTTATTAAAGCGCATTTCTTTTTGCTATCGGATTTTTTTCACCGCACTTTTAGGTTTTGTTCTATGTAATCTTTACTGTAGCTCATTCGATTTGTTTGATTTCTTCTGATAATATGTTATATCATTTTCTTGTCACAAAATTGAGCCTAAATGTTGCTTCATATGTATACGTCCCGAATAGGGTGGGTGTGGGTGTGGATATGGATATCAACTTTCTCCACACCCCACCCACACTCACGCCTATTGTCGTATCTATTATCTTAATATTGTTTGGATGAACACGACATTCTAACACAAATTGTGCATATTTACCCGATCTGAATTAACTTAATTTCCACATATCTTGGATGACATATATAGTTAATGGATGGAGTGGCATATATTCTGGTGCGATGTTGAGCTCTCTCTGCTAGTTTTAATCCACCCAATAAAATTGATAAACGATATGAAAATTTAGTTCCGCGACAACATATACGCAATCCTTTAAATTTTTCATCAAAGTTCTCAGTAACATAAAAAGACTGTCTTTGCTATCCAACACGACAATAATAAGATTTATTTCCACGATCTATTCTATCCTTAAGAGCACCATCCCAATAATCATATCCAGGAGTATATATGCGATTATATCGTGGATTTAGTTTAATTTCTGAACGGTATTTTTGTATTTTGAATAATGATTTAATAGGATTCATAAATACGAAAGAGATCTTCGTTTTAGCAAGCTTGCTTTTTAATTTATCTGTTAGTTTATGATGGATCATTTTTAAACGTAATTTTTTATCATTCGATTCAAGTCTATTGTAAATTTCTACCTCTAATATAGCTGAACCTGATTGTATTTGTTTAATCGCTATATCGTCTATGTCTAAATCTAATTTATCGCAAAATTTCCTCAAGAAATCTCGTAAATCGAATTTCTGACAGTCTTCATCAATACCAAATTTGATTAATGATGATGGTAATTCAATTCTATCGTCAAAAACTTCATCGGGAACTGATATTAATGGTTGTTCTGACAGTTGATAATATTCTTTGCATTCTTCATTTTTAGAAAAGATAGACCCGCATGTAGTAGGTTTAGAATGTAAAACTGAAACTTCCCTTCTTAATCTTTTTCTGATTCGTCACCGAACATAGACCTTACAATGTGCACAATTAAGCAAATGAGTATACATGTAAAAAAGAAAAATGGATGAACATCAACTCTCTAAAGTAGTATATGGTCGACTTTGAAAAATGCTAATAGTGACGAAATTCAATCCCACTACTTATAGGTCATAATTTTCCTCTCCTTAAAATTGTATTTTTTTTTAAATAGGATAATTTTTCTTGTTATCGGTGAGAACGTCAGTCATCAGCTGTCCTCCTATAACATTGAAATACACTTTTTGTAACTCTAATTTTCGGCTTGAACTCATGTAAACTAGCGATATAATATAAAAATTAGAATAGTTGATTCTCACTGATTTTCAAAAACACTTTATTCTAATCCTACTCACGATTGCAAATGTCGAGAGTGTATAAGGTTCGAAATTAGTCTCTCAGCTTCGTGCTGTTCAAATCTTAATTTTCATACATATCCTAACAAAATTCGTCGAACTGGAAATTTTTTGTGATGGAATTTGGTCTTCAAAACGAAATTCTGGAAGAGTGTGATGACATTAAGGGGTAATGTCCTTTTCATTTACAATACAAGAAGAAAAAAAAGATCTTTTATACCATAATTCAAAAGTCACATGTTCGTCTACGTTCAGTAAAGATATCAGTTCATTAGGTCAAACTCTTATGGAGTTATACTCCGAACATGGTGACCATGAAAAATTATATAGGAGCACAACATAGTTGGATGATTGCGGTAGAATTGAAAGTATCTGACTACTTTCTTGTACAAAGAAAATAGTAAACAATATTTTTTTTTCTATCCTTCTCACTCTTTGTATGAGAAATTAATTTGAATTTTTCACAGAGAAGACGTGTTGGTTGACATCTCAATAAATTTTTATTCTTCGATCAATATTCAAATAAAAATGTGTAAAGTTGTCGTGCCAACAGTACTGAGATGCAGAATCTGTCGTAAAAAGAAAAAAATCTTCAAACAGGAAAATCTTTCGAAGAATTTTCTCAGACCTAATAGTTTCCAAAAATTTCCTTAAACGCGCGTTCGTATACTCGGGTAGATTCTGCATCTCTCAATTGTCAGGTATTGTTAATAAATAAAAGGCATGAAAGAGTGTCATTTGGCATTACTGGACATGTCCGATGCACAATTGAAGAAAGAGTTGCTATTGATAGAAATATTCTGTGAGAGCCAAGAACGCCGTTTGTCTTATCTTGAGAACGATGTCGCTCTTATTGAAAGGATTCTATGAAGATCCTTCAATATTTAGTATAAAAGCTTAAAGCACAGTAGAGAATTCTTTATGTAATAGGATGAGTATAGTATGACTGAATGTTGATACTTATCATTTATTTTTTCATATCTTTGGTAAAAGGAACCAGTAAAAACAGAAGAGAGAGGAGAAAATGAGTCAGAAGTGACTGACTGACTGATGAACAAAACGTGAGCAGAGCTATTGATATATACACAAGGAAGAGAGAACGAAAGAGCTCAACTGATGGATTATTATCTGTCACATATAGATGATCCAGAAGTCCTGACTCGATTTGAATAGTAAATTTTTCTTTAATAAAAAAAAACGCCGCTAAAAATTTGCCCCTATGAAGAAAAGATGCAGTAAAACATGCCCTACAAAATGGCTTTTGGTTGACTCCGCTAACCCATATAATAAGAAAAATATAAGCTTAGAAATATGCTTTACAAAAAATAAAAATCAACTTGTGAAGTGAATAGTAAACAAATAATATTTATCAACAAAAACAGCATATTAGAATCCAAAATAGTGATGGTAGAAATAGTATGTTAATCATTCGTATTACAAAATAAAACGAAACTTTTCTCAAAAACTTTCATATAAACAAACAATTTCATATTCTGGGCGGTCGTTTTCGAATTATGAAGTTTTCACATAGTCATTGTTGTGCATTTATAAAAGTGTTTGTTTTCTGGACACATATCATGAAGCTTAACATTTTTGTCTTTAACATATGAAAAATATCTATACAGTATAGTGAGAATTATTCATCTTTAGGAAATGTTCGACGAGCAATGAAAATAAATCCCATCATACGTAATACATACACAAAGACAAAACAGAAAAAGAATGACAAAGACTTGTCAAAGAGAATTAACAAATTTTTAATACCTTTCAGTATTGTATACAATGAATACAAGTAAAATTATTACTTTTTCTTCCAAATAAATGAACAAATCCAGGTAACTATAAAGATAAAACTTTGTCATTTGTTGAGAGAAGAAGAAAAACTTACTACCTTAATTAAACGAAAAATAATTTTCGTCATTGATTGCAGTTGCTATTCTTATCATTTCCAGGATTTCATGAATCTTATTATGCTGGAAAAAGATTATTCTGTACTTAGTAAAATGATAATTTACTGCAGTAAAAGAGTGTATCATCATATAAGATATTTTGACCTGGGGTACATTTCGGATTGCATTGAGTAAAAAAAAACACGATAATTACGGTCACTAGTAGCTTAGGGTTTTGATTTGTGAATCCATTATTTGACAAATGAATACTTTCATTTTTTATTATGAAAAATAAAATGTGTTGTTAATGTATCTTAGCGATTCTAAATGAAGTTTAAGTGGTTCTTTTTAGTAAATTGGTAGTATATCTGCCAAGATAACAGAAGATGTGTAGTTTGAATTTCAAGAAGAAATCATCTTTTCCTCCGCTCTGCAATCATATCATATCACTGCAAGTCACTTTTGTTGTCTCGTTAGTATTGCGTTCAACACAGTATTGAAATACTATTTTTTCTTTTTTAATGGATTTCTAAGGTTACTATCTTATTATCATCTATTCTTGAAGTAACTATTTATTTTTCCTGGCAAAACTCATGCATGAGGTTGATGAATTGGATTATTTTTGTGTAATTTCATTGAATACGATATGTCAAATACTAATTATAGATTGTTGGAAAAAGCAAATGGATTCCTTGATGACGAGACAAATACTCTGTATTGTAACTGATAGGAAAAGACTTTAATTATGATTTTCTTCCTTCTAAATTTCAATTTTAAATTTCTTATCGAATATCTTGCAACAAAAAATCCAAGTATCAATACTTTCTCACAGGCATCTGTGATTTTTATATTATGTTCTAGGTTATATCCACAAATCTCGACTTAGATTTAACGTAAATAAACACATTTAGGATAATAAGATGGAAGAAAAAATAATTTCCTTTAGACGTCATTATGTAGCCTTCGGTTAATTAAAAATTTGATGTCAAATATTAGCTTCTAAATACAAAGTTAAATTAAAATAAGTAGCTTTTGTTATTCTTCTTTATGACGGTACTGCATGTTCAGAAACAGCTTATGTGTTGTTAATAAAAACATAGAATTATAGATTAAGAGATAAACTTTAACATCATAGTGATAAATACTCAAACATTTTCTTTTTATTTCATCATTTGCAATCTATCAAATAACTTTTGCAAAGGTTGACTTACGAGTGATATTATACATTATTAAATCATTTCATTCTTAAAAATGGTAGATTTATTTTATATCATGACTATTCTTGAAACTACCTTTTCCACCCTTGATTTATTTTTGGCTTTGGTATATTCCATACCAATTTTATTCATTCCTCGTTTTCAACATCGTAACAACATGTTCACTCTTAACATATGTTTGACTATAATAGGTTCTTGTATCTATTTTATCACCCTTTTCTTAATGCGATATTTTGATGTTCGACGTTTATTTGCTCCACATCTATGCATTCTGTTATTTTACGTATATAATATTGCTGGTACTGCAATACCATTTTCTTTTGTTACTTTTACGGTCCATCGATTTTGTTGCATTGTGTATCATACAAATCTTTTCTTCAAAACAAAACGATGGGTAGCAATATGTATCGTAGGTCAATGGATAGGTGAATTTGTGATTTCGTTGCCATTTATTTATAGACGAGGATCAGTAAGTATATGTTCAATTCTGAGTTATATAGTCAAATACTATTAATCTATTTATTTCTAGTATTGTTCTAATGAATTATGGATGCAAATTTATACGTGTACGATGGCAACATTTTTACCATCATTGATCAATACTGTTTTAAATATTCAAATATTTGCTTATGTACGTTCTTCTTCTCAACGTATTCAACCTCAAGTTAATGTTATACCGACAAATGATAGTAATAATATACAACAACCAATAATTTCTCGTCGAGATGTGTCTCTATTACGACAGATGATTTTTATTTTTTTCATTTTCATTATAGGATGGGTTCCTGTTTATTTAACTATAATTATCAGTTATTTTGTCCATATTGATATAATTATTCTTACGGGTACTGCAATAGTTGGTCAACTATGTATATTAAGTATTATTATAAATTTGTTCAAATACAATCATACACTGAGAGAATATTTAATAAATAAAATTCGACAATGCATTGGACTATGATAACACATTATATTCACACGAGAAAGAAAATTATATTATTGAATGTTGTCGTTTGTAGATCTTTCTTAATAGATATGTTTTCTATTAAAATAAACCAATGTTTTCTATTAAAATAAACCAATGTTTTACATGTTGTCATCAAGATCTGTGTTTTTTGTTTCTTTCTGTGAAACAAATGATTGAATTGAAATAGCAAGACATAAGAAAAGAAAATGGCTTAAACTCTTCATTTGCGATCTGTTGAATAAATTTTATAATACGCTTTGAATATAATTTCATATACTATTTGTGAGAGAATCCGTCGGCATTCATTTCCTGTGTTTATAATTGAACAGTCTAGCTTGCTCTTCCACTTCCGTGTTTCTCTTGGCGAAAAATTATTAAGCATACAATTACTTCATCAAAATGATTCATATTTTATACATAGTATTGTTATTCAGTAAAATATTTAATCAGCATTAGCTTTATTTTTCTTTGTAGATTCATTTATGATGTTACTCATTTGTCATTTTTATCATCTAATCAACATATTTATAGTAAGTATGTGTTGGTTGAGATAAGTTACATACAATTTCACCATTGCACACTATGGGTGTGGATGTGTGTGGATATGGATTTAGATCTTCATGTAAACGAGACTCACACCGAGACTCACACCCCACCCACACCCCACCCACACTCACACCCAACTGAAACAATTCTGAATATTCTTCTATAGAACTAATGAGTTCCGCAAATCTAACCAATTTTTAATTCTATGGAAAACAATATTTCCATATAAGAATAAAATTTGTAATATCGATCAATAGCTTACATGTATAGATCAGAAGTATTCAACTTAATTATATGACAATAACCTAATAATTTATCAATTGTTAGAGCTTTATAATCATGACATCAATTTATTGAAGATTCGACAAGTATTCGTTGAAGTCATTGATGTCTATGTCTTCGGACTATTATAGAGCCTTTAGTGTAGGCCATTTTTCAGGGTATTGAGATCTTCAATTTTATATGGTTGATTGCATCTTGAAAAGCTCTACAAGATAAGATACCCAACCAACCATTCGATAGGTATTTCAACGCGTCGATTTTGACTTCCGTTGGGCATCGAAATTTCAAATCGACTCCTGGGAGTGCCATTTTCCGATGGATTGAGGGCTCGGCGATGGGTTGTTTTTACTAGCAGTTTTCAACCACTCGAATAGCCATTTCCGATGGATCGGAATTTCATCGAAAAAAAGAATTTTTATCCAATAGATGTCTCAATTTCGAGTTATTCCCACCCATCGAAAATAGATTTCGGGTCGTCGAGTCCTATCAAACATACGCGATGGACTAGATTTGAACATAGATACTTACAATTTACTTGCGTCGAACCATTGATCTAAATATGAACTAGTATTCGTATATCAAAACGACCTTTTTAGTTCATAAGAAGATAGTACTTATGCTTTTTGTTTTTATTTTTTGTCCAGAGAGAAAAATTCCTTTTAAATATTAGAAATAATATTTTTCACCTAGAAAAAGGATTATTTTTGGAACACTAAAAATTGTGTTTTTTATCGAGAAAAGTTTTTTTATCATGAAAAAGATTTCATCAAGAAGGAAAAGTTTTTATATCTCTGTAAGTGACAGAAGAACTTTTTTTTTATTTAAGATTCCGTATAAGTCACTTATTGAATAAATATGACGTGCAATATGTGATAAATCGACCAATTTGCACGTGAAAGCATGAGGCCAATATTTAGTAATTTTTTAAAAATTCACAGCGTGGATATTCCTTATAACTATGTCTTAGTAAAAAAAGCAGGCGAATTTTAGTTTTAGTTTCAATTGGTGGACGATCAATTTTGATCAGAAAATTTCGAAATTAAGGTGAATTATGAAGCAAACTCGAATAATATTACTAAAGTTATTGAATAAAAATAAAGAATATTCTAAAATCGGATTTTGAAGTTTCACCTGATCAAGATTATGGACTCCTCTGTCGAAACTGTTATGATGATCGGTTTTACTCTTTTGAAGCACTCAAAATGATTCTTTCAATATGTTAGAGGAGTCGATAGTATTATTTCGATAGGTGACTTCTCTCGGAGTACTCGAAACTTCGATGAGTACTGAGGCGTCGAAATATATACGACGAGTCGAAAATAAGTCGTCGATAGGACGTAGTGTCCGAGTCCTCGAAATTCGATGGGTGCCGAGGGGATCGAAATTGAAACAGAACGAACAAAACATATATATATATCAAATTTTCGACCGCTCGTCGCACCCATCGTATGCTTTTTTTTGTTTGCTTGGGTTAATCATAATTGAAATTATCCGAAGGTCAAAACTAAGAAAAATACGCACTTTTTACACTTAAATTTTTCATTGACTTTGACCTTCTGGATCATATAACTTCAAACTTCAACAACAAATACATTTAATAACTCATAGTATTTTGTAGGACAACTCACGGGCTATCAAATAAAACTTTAACGGACTCGATCATTTTAGCTATTTCGGGAGAAATATTAAAATACGGATTACTCTAAATTTGGGTCCAATGACATCATGATCAGAAGGATAAAAAACAGTCTGTCTGGGCTAAAATCTTCTTACGACGATTTTAAATCGAAAAAATTTGGATTTACTCATAAAAATGAATGCTCTTTCGGACTGGGTAGGTAAAATCGAAAGAAACTCTGCTCTTGGTCGCAGTGTTTGGTGGTCTAGCGGAACCTCTCTTAAAAGTGGATCTTTTTCATTTCGTTTCATATGGGTTGAACAGAGACAGAATGCCTGTGACAGACAGTAGCGTTCATCATTCATTTGGTTTTTTCCTATTCAAGATTGAAATGAAATATTTTGACTTTAGAGAACTAGTATAGGAATGGATATTCAAAAAAATTAAGTCCTGCTCATATATACTACAATCAGGTTTTTCGTTAGAATGTTTGGTATTTCGGAAGCTACAACACAGAGTCGAGTTATAGTTTCTCAATACAGTCTTAGTAATTGGATCTGCTTTTCTTTAAAACAAACTATTGT